AGCCTGGGGGTGCTGAGCCTGGGGGTGCTGAGCCTGGGGGTGCTGCGACTGGGGGTGCTGAGCCGGCGTGTGCGGAGTCTGGGGGTGCTGAGTCTGGGGGTGCTGCGCCTGCGGGTACTGAGCCTGGGGGTGCTGCTACTGAGCCTACGGAGCCTCGGGTTGCTGCGTCTGGGGGTGCTCCGGTTCGGGGTGCTGAGCAGTCTCTCACACCACAGCAGCTTCGTGACTGGTACGTCCGGCGCTTTCGCCGTCCTAGTGGCTCGGCTGGAGCTGGGGGTACTGGAGCTGCCGGGACTGGTTGTTCTGGGAGCGCTACGACTGGAGCTGCTGGAGCTGGGGACTCTGGAGCTGGCGGCGCTAGCGGAGTTGTAGCTGCGGACCCTGGGGGTGGTGCTGCTGCTGGTGCTGCGGACCCACCTGGTGGAGCTGCTGCTGGAGCTGAGGACCCGAGCGGTGACGCTGCTGCTGGTGCTGGGGACCCGGACGCTGGAGTCTCTTCTGCTTCTGGAGACGCTGCGCGGCCGCGGCCGTACTTCGTACCGCTCCTTCAGCAGGTTCTTGGGCAGGCTCCTCCTCCTTGTCCTCCTCCCTCCGTAGAGTGTCCTCCGACTGTCCAGCCACGGCCACAGTTACCGCCTGCCTCGCCTCTCCCTGCTCCCTCTCCTTACACTGGTCCCACAGGAGGTCTTACAGAGCGTCGTGAGCCTGAGTCTCGTCCTGCGTCGCCTGTCCGTACTGCTCGCACTGGTCGTCGTGTCCGTCGTGAGCGTCCTCCTCCTGTCCCAGGCACTCACTACATGACTCTGCGTCCCTCTACTGCTCCTCAGCGTGTCCCTCTGCCGTCTCCTCCTGCGTCCTCTTTGCCTGCTGTTCCGGACCCTGAGTCTGACCGGTATCATGCTGAGCACCCTACTGTCACGCGCCTCCTAGCTACTGTTGTCACTGACCCTACCTTTGAGTCCTCGGCTGCGTCTGCTCTGGTCGCTGAGTTGGTTGACTTTGCTGCTGCCTGTCGTCTAGACTACGCTGCTCGCCTTGTTGCTGGGTCTGAGTCTGCGTCTGTCTGTCCTCCGTCCGTCGGGGGTGAGTGTGCTATTGGCACGGACGTCCTTGAGGACAGGCAGGAGGACTTTGACTCTCTCGCGGCTGCTGTACCTCATCTCGTGGCCTAGTTGCTTGCCCCTGAGGGAGACCCGGATGCACTAGACATCCCCACTCCGCGCACTTACGCAGAGGCGATCTCGGGTCCCTACTCCTCTCAGTGGCAGACAGCCATGGACGCAGAGATGGCATCCTGGAAGTCCACAGGCACCTACGTCGACGAGGTTCCCCCTCCTGGGGCGAACATCGTCGATGGCATGTGGATTTTCAGGGTGAAGCGGCCGCCAGGTTCTCCGCCTGTCTTCAAGGCTCGTTACGTTGCTCGAGGCTTCAGTCAGCGTCAGGGGGTCGACTTCTTCTAGACCTTCTCCCCCACCCCGAAGATGACCACTCTTCGGGTTCTGCTGCACGTTGCTGCTCAGTGTGACTACGAGCTTCACTCTCTTGACTTCAGCACAGCGTTCCTGCAGGGCAGCCTGCACGAGGAGATCTGGCTGCGCCGCCCACCTGGCTTTACTGGGTCGTTTCCTCCTGGTACCCAGTGGAGCCTCCGCCGGCCAGTCTACGGTCTCCGCCAGGCACCACGCGAGTGGCACGACACACTGAGGACTACACTTGCGGCTCTTGGGTTCGCGCCGTCTACTGCTGACCCGTCGCTGTTTCTGCGCACAGACACGTCGCTGCCGCCGTTCTACATTCTCGTGTACGTCGACGACTTGGTTTTTGCTACTGCTGACACTGAGGCACTCGCTCGTGTGAAGTCGGAGCTGCAGAAGAGACACACCTGCACTGACCTGGGTGAGCTGCGTAGCTACCTTGGCTTGCAGATCACCCGGGACAGAGCTCGCCGCACCATCACCCTGACTCAGTCACACATGGTGCAGCAGGTCCTTCAGCGCTTCGGCTTCCAGTTCTCCTCACCACAGGCCACACCTCTGGCTACCAGTCACTCGCTCTCAGCTCCACCTCCGGACGAGTCCGTAGAGCCGAGTGGCCCGTACCCAGAGCTTGTGGGCTGCCTCATGTACCTGATGACTTGCACGCGACCTGACCTCGCGTACCCTCTTAGCATCCTTGCTCGTTACGTTGCACCTGGGAGACACAGGCGAGAGCACTGGGAGGCTGCTAAGAGGGTGCTGCGCTACTTGTGCAGTACATCAGGCATGGGGCTGGTGCTTGGAGGACACGACAGAGTTGTCCTCACTGGCCACTCGGACGCTTCTTGGGTGGACGACCTGGCTACGCAGCGGTCGTCACAGGGTTACACCTTCAGCCTTGGCTCTGGTTCTGTCTCGTGGCGGTCCACCCGTTCTTCTTCTGTTCTCAGCTCTAGTTGTGAGGCTGAGATCTACGCCACGGCCATGGCTGCACAGGAGTTACGCTGGCTCACCTACCTGCTGACTGACTTGGGAGAGCGGCCTAGTTCTCCTCCAGTTCTGTACGGCGACAACAAGGCAGCCCTTGCCTTGTGTCAGGAGCACAGACTGGAGCACAGGACGAAGCACATTGCTCTTCGCTACTTTCTTGCTCGAGAGCTTCAGCAGCGCGGTCAGCTTCGGCTTGTGTACGTGGACTCGAAGGCCAACACTGCTGATATCTTCACCAAGGCGCTCCCGCCTAGTGATCATCAGCGGCACTGTACTTCTTTAGGCCTTGTGTCCACGTTTCCTCACTTGCTCACTGCTTGACATTCTTTGTACTGTACTTTATATATATCTTGTTGCTTGCTTGCTAGGTTTTGATCACTGTGTTGCTTGTCTTGTACTATATCTAGCACTGCATGTGAACTGGCCTTGTGGCCTTTGCTTGTGCTCGGAGTGTGGTGACGTTGTGATCCACCCTGGGCTTGTGTTGCTTTGCTGGACTGGTCTTGTGACCCTTTGTTCTCCCCCACTTTGCCTATGGGGGTGTGTTAAATTATAATGGGTTCTATGTTGGTAGGCTGTAGTGGGGTAGCCAATATGGGGTACAACCCCAACTAGGGTTTCATATTTGTACCCAAACTTCTGCTAGTTCATTCATTCTTGCCTAGTGATTCTGATAAGGCGCAGGGCAGCACGGGCAGTGCGCGGGCAGCTCACGTGCAGGTGGCGCAAACAGCGCATGGGGCAGTGCGGGTCGTCGGCGGAGCGCAGGGTAAGTGCTCGCGGGCGGTGCAGGGCTTACGTGTGGGGCATGGCAGGTGCGCGCAGGGCAGCGCACGATCAGCGCAGGTAGCTCGCGGGCGGCGTGCAGGCGCTGGGCAGCGGGGTGCACGCGGGCGCGGGCAGGGCAGGGCAGCGTGATAGCGCTGGGTAGGGCAAGGCATGTCCGCGTCGAGCAGGGCAGCGCGCAACGGAAGTGCAACACGCATGCTAGCAGGGCTGCGCGCGGCAGGGCAGAGTAGGGCAGTGCGTGCAGGGCAGGGCTGGACGGCGCGCGACGGGTAGTGCAGCGCGTGCAGAGCAGTGGCGCAGCAGCGCGGGACAGCGCGTGACAGCGCGGGACAGTGCGACTGCGCAGGGCAGGGCAAGGCAGCAACGCGATAGCGTGCTGGGCAGGGCAGAAATGTCGGGCTAGGAGGGCAAAGACGAACGTCGGGCAGGCTCGGAACTAATCGGTGGGCTATAATAAAAACGGTCCTAGAACATGGCCTACTATAAAACCATGTTGATAATAGAAGACAGGAATGATTGAACTAGGAAGCATTGAGGTACAAATACTAACCTTAAAAAGGCTAACCCATTACAACCTACAACAAGATATGCAATGTAATTTGACCGTTGCATCTAGTATTTCTACGTTACAAGCAACGCTATGGGCAGTTTATGTATATATACTTTTGGCGTACATATGATTAAACATGAACTTAAAGGGTAATACCATGATTAGCCATGTGCCCGAAAGGGTACATTCCCTTATTATAGGGGCGTATCAATCGTAGAACGCTTTAACTGTTCAAACTGGTTCCTGCCTTTTCGTTTGGCAATGTTTATGCTAGCAACCATATTAGGGTACATTCCGCCCTGGACATATCCCAATCGTGTATGTCCCAATCGGGTGCACCGCTCCGAACCGAACTAAACAAGAGAAGCGAAATTTTTGAAACTAGGGTGTATTTCGGTGTAATAAGATGCAGTGCGGTAGAATCGATTGGGACACATCGATTGGGACGCTGTCCACAGCGGAATGTAGCCTTAAAACCGAAATATAAAATAGTGAACCCTGTCCCATCTGTCAGAGGTCCACTGGAGATCCCCGATGATCCTAGGGAAGGGTTACAGGCACGTCGGCCTGGGGGGTTATGGGCGCACTCACCCGCTACATAAACAAGCCCTTTTATCCCAGTGGTTAGTGACTGGGATTCTGACACCATCTTGAAAGTGGCTGCCGAAAACGGGCCGTTCGAGCACTGTTTCAAACAAAACGAAAAGCACCATGAGCAAATGTGATTGGCTGTCGCCAATCTTTGATTCTTCATGTTCCCGCCAATTTTTTTTTCCCTGCGGATCTCCTCTGTCGCATGTTTCGTGCTACACCTGCACGACTCTTGCCAAGCGATGGTTTCATTCGCCCGGCCAAAGTTGGTTTCAAGCTGGAACTGGGTTTCATGCTAGCTGCTCTCCGTCCCGTAATCACTAGTTTCATTCCTAGCATATTATAGCTGACAACAATAGATGTTTGTGGCCAAGCTAAGGAACTAACGACCCAACAGGAATGCGTAAGACTGTTACATAGCGTTGTATCGTAATTTTATTCCCTTCCGTAGCCTATCGTTACCCTTCCGCAGGTGTTAGTTTCCTGTATCGCGCCTTCGTCATCTCCCCTTGCCTCCAGTCGTTCGTCCGCTTTCCGCTCCCCTCCCACCTTCGCGGGTCTCTCTCCTCTCCTCCCGTCACCATCTCTTTCTCCCCTCGCGCATGCATTCGTCGGCCCATCGCTCACCGCGTCGTCTTTAGCTCCCGTCGCCTTAGCGCTCTCCCTCTCGTCGTATGCTAGCTGCTCTCCCTCCCATCGCCTTAGCGCTCACTCTACGGTCGCCTTAGCGCTCTCTCTACCGTCGCCTTAGGCTCTCCATTTCGTCGCCTTAGCGCTCTCCATTTCGTCGCCTTAGCGCTCTCCATTTCGTCGCCTTAGCGCTCTCCATTTCGTCGCCTTCGTGCTCTCTCTCCCGTCGCCTTCGCGCTCTCCATCCCGTCGCCCTTGCAATCTCCCCTCCCATCCGGTCGTTCCACCCTCCCCTCGCCATCGCGCTCACGTTCCTCCCCTCCCCTCGCCATCGCGCTCACGTTCCTCCCCTCCCCTCGCCATCGCGCTCACGTTCCTCCCTCCCCTCGCCATCGCGCTCACGTTCCTCCCCTCCCCTCGCCATCGCGCTCACGTTCCTCCCTCCCCTCGCCATCGCGCTCACGTTCCTCCCCTCCCCTCGCCATCGCGCTCACGTTCCTCCCTCCCCTCGCCATCGCGCTCACGTTCCTCCCCTCCCCTCGCCATCGCGCTCACGTTCCTCCCCTCCCCTCGCCATCGCGCTCACGTTCCTCCCCTCCCCTCGCCATCGCGCTACGTTCCTCCCTCCCCTCGTAATCGCGCCCACGTTCCTCCCCTCCCCTCGCCATCGCGCTCACGTTCCTCCCCTCCCCTCGCCATCGCGCTACGTTCCTCCCTCCCCTCGCAATCGCGCTCACGTTCCTCCCCTCCCCTCGCCATCGCGCTCACGTTCCTCCCCTCCCCTCGCCATCGCGCTCACGGTCCTCCCCTCCCCTCCCATCCCGTCGTTCGCCTCCTCTTCCCTCCCATCCCGTCGTTCGCCTCCTCTCCCCTCCCATCCCGTCGTTCGCCTCCTCTCCCCTCCCATCCCGTCGTTCGCCTCCTCTCCCCTCCCATCCCGTCGTTCGCCTCCTCTCTTCTCTTTCTTCCCTTCGCTCCTCCGATCTCCCCTCGCTGGCCGTTGTTCCTCTCTCTCTCCCCATCGATATCATTCTATCCGTTGGTGATACCTTATCAAACTTATTTATCCCCCTCGTCCTACACTGTCCCTATTTTTAACCTCTCTCAGCCTCAGGTCGTCGGCCCACCTTGGCATATGTGTGTGCTCTGGATTCTGTGTTGTTGATTGATGTTCGGTTTTGTGAAGTTCGATGACTGCTCGAGTGAATACAGGCATTGAAACCTTGCGCCAAATTCGCACAGAAGGATGTGTGCATTGTGTGTGAGTTTCGCTGCCAATCAGAATTGTGCACTCTTCCAAGTGTTCCCCGTTCACAGCGAGACTCGTCAGGAGTGAAAAAATAGACATGCACAGCTTCATTGGTTCCGAAACTGTTCCAAAAAAACTTCAGTTTTCAAGTGGACCCAACTAGAAGGGGGGGTCACTATTTTAGCTGCTGGCTTTAATAGTAACCGTTGGCTCATAAGATCATTTGGATTTCGCTCTTGGTAAGGCTTTTGTCTGTTACAACCAAATTTTCTGAAGTAAGTCTCATCGTTGTAACAATCAAAGGAGCCGTACATTTACGGTATGTTGTGGATCATTGTTTGTTTGGGCTAGAAATGACGACGTCAATTAGTACCTATTTGGTGCCCGATGCAATCTATTTGTTTTTGTTTTGTTTTGTTCTTTTTTTTTTTGCGCCATGATTTTTGTCATAGGTTCTTGACTACGAGAGATGCAGTTAATGTGCATTAAATTTGGTATTATCCCCTCTTCTTCTATTTTATGCAGCATATATCTAAGTTTTATTTAAAATTTGACGTTTCGTTAGTGATGTGCGCTTTACTGGGTACGGCTGACAGAAAGACCCATTGGCACTCGTCATGCTTGCGCCAACCTTCCCCCACCAGGCGATACCAACCTTTATGAACCTCTGCCCAAGGCATCCGTGTACGGGCAGCAGAATTCGGCTTGCAGGCGGTGCTTCCTGCAGTTTATCAAGCTGCTGCTCTTCTACAGTGACGCAAACCTTGGCCTTGAACCCTTTTCTGTCATTTCCCGCCGCAAAATCTGACACCTGTCCCTCATTCTTCTGCAGCCCAACTTTCGCGACTGGCTCTGCTTCCGTTCAAGTTGCGCCGATTTTCGCGCCTGTACAGTTTCCCCTTTCATGTTGTTCCACACGTTCGTCTAGTCATGGTCCAGTCGGGTTTAGTGAGTTTCTACCCGGTAGAATATATGTTTGTTCGCACTACCGTACTATCACCGAGATGACCGATCTCAATTGTACTGAAAACAAAATTAACACGAACGGACGCGGCCGACACCCTTCCGCCTAAACCAGCATCCATGTACTCCCCGCCTCCCCCTGCTTCCCCTGCTGCAGGTGTTCCACCCCTTCGTGACGTGTTCCCCCCACCCCACATCCCCTTTGTGTCGTTCCGCCAACCTGCCCCCCCTGCCATACTCTAGCAAAGCAACCCCCACCCCACCCCTTCCCAACGAAATGGTTTGCGCACTTGGAGGGGACGCGTCCTTTCCGCACCTAGCGATGCCTTTCGAAGGCAAACCCTAGAAGCCTTGCGCACTGGGAACTAAATAGTATGCAGCATCGACTTGATGCCATGACTTCGTTTTTTGGGGTCGAATAGGGTGATACATCAAGGACGGAATAAAGATGCTGGATTACCAGAAGGAGCAGAAGATTCTCCTCGGTCGAACCACTACCATGTAGACCTGGTTGATGGCTGGATCTGGTTTCCTCTGTACGCGTTATGAGGCTGCGTTAGGTAACCCAACCAAGTGCGTAGCCTGCTGGTTCAACTCTCATCCTGTCACAAGGACTTTGAAGGGCTGTGAACAGGGCAGTTGCAATACTGTGTAGGCAGAGGCATTTTTGTCCTGCTTCGTCAGCTCTGTCTAGTACCACTTTTCCAACCGCCGCACGACCCGTCTTATCTCCGTTCCGCCAGTTATTCGACCCGGTTCCGCGAGGCGCTACATCTTACACCGTCAACCTGGCGACAGCAGCCATGGCGCGTAACCGGGGCAGTCCCCGCAGCTCCGGTCAGCTTGCGCCACACGTGGAAGGAGAGCAGCAGCAGCAGCAACAGCAGCAGCAACAGTGGTCGGACGAAACCTGGCAGCAGCAGGCTAACCGTTTAGCGTCCACGTCAGCGTCCGACAGGGCAGGGGACGACAGTGGCAGCTGCTGCAGTGGCAGCGAGAGCGGCGGGGACGCGCGAAGCAGAGAAGCTTCAGGCAGGCCGCGTGGCCGCACGTCGACCGACGAGAAAGGAAAGAGAGTAGAAGGTTCTGCCGATGATGGGGATGAGGACGAGGGTGGAGATGCACGGGACAGCGGAGGTGCGAGGGCAGGCGGGGAAGCAGCCGGGGGAGGAGGCGGAGGCGGAGGCGGAGGCGGCGCAAGAGCCGGAGTTGGGGACGAGGGGCGTTCGAGCGAAGGGGAGTTTATGAGATTGGAAAAGGACGCGGCTATAGGCTTGCTGGCACGAGAGCTTTTAGGAGGCGGTATTACTAGTAGTAGCAGCAGTAGCAGCCGACCCGACTCGGCAGGGTACGAACGTAGTCTAAGCGACGTAGCGAACGCAACGCGGCTAGCGCGGTTGCGTCTAGACATACCGTCCGATGGTGTAAGTCGGGCAAGCAGATTCAGAGAGACGGACCCAGACGCCGAGGCGCGACTGGCAGACGATCGAAGCGGTGCGGATCGAAGCCGGCACTTGCGCGGCCAGTACAGTCACCTGAAGCAGCAGCAGCAGCAGCTGGAACAGCATACGTCGTTAGGATCCTCAAGTTTACGAGGCTCCGGTTTAGGCGCCGCAACTGCCGCCGTAGGAGCCGCGCAGCTGGATTTACTATCGGTGGAGCTGCGGGTTCTGGAAGCGCGGTTGCAATCGGCGGGGGAGCAGGTGGAGCAGGAGAGGCGGGGGCGGGAGGCGGCGGAAATGGAGGTGCAGCGGATGGCGCGCGAGATGATGCGCGCGGAGGAACAGCTCGTGCTGGCGGAAGCGGAGCGACAGCGCATGGCTGGTGGGCAGCATGGGGTGGCATGGGGTGGCATGGAATGTCATGAGGTGGCATGAGGTGGCATGGGGTGGCATGGGGTGGCATGGGGCGTCATGGGGCATCTCCCTGAGCGAGGAGGGGGGAACGGACGTGAAGGGGGTTGTGGTCGGGAAGTCAAGGGCGTTGTTCCGAGCACCGTCCCGCTAAATAAGGGCGTCCTTCTAGTCCTTTCCTTATTTAGCAACTCAACCAACGTTGCCGCTCGTTTCACCTTCGTCTTTCGCTAGCCAATCACTCCTCCCTGACATACCCCCTTCTCGCTCCCTCTTTTTCCCTTCTCGCCCCCCCATTCCCCCCGTCCCCGTCTTTTTCCCCCGTTATCCTCCAAACCTGCCCCCCGCCCATACCCCGCGCGCAGAGGCTTTGGACGAGCTAAGCATGCAGCTGATAGCCACGCGCAATCTCCTCACGAGCGCGGAGGAGGAGCGCGCGCAGCTGGCGGTGGCGGCGTCCGAAACCGCCAAGGAGCGCGACCTGCTGCGCCAGCAGTGCGACGAGCTGCGCGCCGCGCTCGACCAATCAGGCACCTCTACGTCATCGTCAGACTCCAGCAACCCCCCCGGCGGCGCCAGCGGCGGAGGCGCTGCGGCAGCAGCAGCAGCGGCGGCGGCGGCGGCGGCGGCGGGGAGTGGGCGGCGGAAGAGCGGCGGGACAGAGCGTGGAAACCCTAGCTGTCGCCGCGCTGTATAACGAGCGGGAGAGGCTTATAGAGCGGATACAGGACCTGGAGATGCGGTGGGGCCAGTGTCAGGAGGAGTTAGGGCAGTGTTTAGAAGAGAAAGAGCAGCTGCAGTTAGAGGTAGGCGCGGCGGTCGCGCGCGCCATGGAGGAGCGACAGGAGTGGGTGGAGCGCGTGACGACCGTGGCGCGCGTGGGGAAGGAGGAGATGCAGCGGCGCGTGGCGAAGCTCCTGGCGCAGCGGGACGAGGCAGAGCGGAGCGCCAGGGCCGCGGAGGGGAAGGTGGCGGGGCTGCTGAACCAGCTCGCGGCGGTGACGGGCGGAGGGGGCGGCGGAGCGGGGGGAGGGGGAGCGGGAGGGCTCGGGATGGGCGTGGGGGAGGGGTACGGGGGCGCGGGTGGGGGGGAAGGTGTGTGGGTGGGCGTGGGGGGGAAGGGGTATGGGCAGCAGCCGCAGCTGACTCGCGCCAGCACGTCGGATAGAAGACGGTACGGCTGTGTGCTTGCTCTGTTGCTGTTGTCGCCACGTTCGGCTGCTGCTGTTGTTGTTGTTGGCGCTGCTGCTGCAGCTACTGCTGGGGAGGATGTGCACGTGTGTCTGTTATAACAACCAGGAGCCCTATGGCAACCGGGACTACACGCGGTGGGACCGTCTTACTCTTTTCAAAAGGAACCGCCTTCCCTGTCCTCTCGCCGTCCCCCCCTTACCACTCACCCTTCAGGAGCCCTTACGGCCGCCGGGACTACACGAGGTGGGACCGGTCCCGGCCGCGGTCAGACGGCTACGTGGAGCGAGACAGGCTCTCCGACTCTGTCGTCCTCTCCTCCTCCTCGGGGGGCGGCGGGGGAGGCACAAGCGCCGCCAGCGCCTCGTCCCACTACCCCTACTACGACCGCAGGGAAGGGACTTCTCGTGGTGGGATTCCTCTTGGAACTCCTTATAGAAACCCCTCTGCTCCCCTTTCTCTTCCCCGCTCTCCCCACACTCCCCTCCAACCCCCGTTCCCTATTCCCCAGGAGCCCCTACGGCCGCCGGGACTACACGAGGTGGGACCGGTCCCGGCCGCGGTCAGACGGCTACGTGGAGCGAGACAGGCTCTCCGACTCCGTCGTCCTCTCCTCCTCCTCGGGGGGCGGCGGGGGAGGCACAAGCGCCGCCAGCGCCTCGTCCCACTACCCCTACTACGACCGCTCCCGCTTCCGCGAGGGCCGCGCCCGCAGCCACCACAGCCGCCGGCAGGTGTCGGACGGCGCTTCTGCTTCTTCTCTCGATGACTCGTCTTCTACAGGGAAAGGTGCTCTTTCCGCTCCTCCCCCGTCTACCTCTGCTGCTGCCGCCGCTGCTGCGGCTGCCGGTGGTGCTGGTGCCGCTGCTGGGTCCTCCCCTGCGACTCCGTCTTTTGCCAGCTCGATTTTCTCCTCGTTGTTCGGCTGGGGGGGGTCGAGCCTGTCCCCGCCGTCGACCCAGCAGCAGAAGCAGCAGCAGGGGGGCGTGGGAGCAGCGGCGGGTGGGGCGGGAGGGGGAGGCGCGGGAGGTGGGCATAAAGTTGGTGGGGGGGTTGCGGGGAGTGCGCCTGGGAGTGTGTATGATGATAGATCGTCTACGACGTATGGGAGCAGTGTGCGGCGGTACAGCAGCGGTGCTTCGGCTAGTGGGTCGGTGAGGGGACGCGGAGGGTACGGGTATGGAGGTGGGATGGATGGAGCAGGGTATAACGATCAAGGGTATGGTGTGAGAGGAGTGGGTGTAGGAGGAGGAGGAGGGGTAGGGGATGGAGGTGGTCCGTATTGCCGGGTAATGGTGCCAGCAGCAGCGGCGGCAGCAGCAGCCGGGCTTCCTGGGTGGTCGGCGGGAGGGAGGGATGGGGAGATCAGACCTGTTCCAGAGGGCAACGTGGAGGGCCAGGATTGGCTGTCGGATCAATCGGGCGGCACGACTATGGATGAGGTGGACGAGGTGCTGAGACAGATGGGGATCTCGCCGGATGATACTGTGTGGAATGGAGGGGAGGGGGATGCGGGCGGGGGGAGGGAGAGGGGAGGGGAAGGGGGGTTGTCGCGGTATGGGGACAGAGTGAGGGAGAAAGCGAGGGAACGGGCGCGAGTGGGGGGTGCGAGAGAGGGGAGGGAGAGCGAGGGGGATTGGGGGAGGTTGAGTGTTGGCGGTGGGGGAACAGGAGGGGGAAGCATTGCGTCAGGAATGGGAGGAGGGGCGGGAGCAGGAGGCCTCGGGGGAGGAAGCGAGGGGAGAGGCGGTGAGGATGGGTACAGTGAGGCGGACGGGAGTGTTGGTGGTGCGGCCTCCAGTGCGCTAACCGCGGCAGCGAGTGCTGGGTCGAGAACAGCGTTGAGACGGCTGGCAGCAAAGCGAGGGCAGTTACCGCCCAAGAACAGCCTGTCACCTGTGTCTCCCAACCAGGTGTTTCAGCATGCAAGAGACACTGTCATCCTGTACCAATGATAGAGGCTTGGTTTGAGGCGCCTGCAAAGAGGGGACAGTTACCGCCCAAGAACAGCCTGTCTCCCGTATCCCCCAACCAGGTGTTTTAACATGCAAGAGACACAGTCATCTTGAACCAATAATACAGCGGCTTAGAAGTCAATGATGTGGCAATGACGTGGCAGTACGGTGCATGTGGGGTGCCAGTGCGAGAGGTGGCTGTATCATCTGTGACGTGCATCTGTGCCTGTAACAAGTGGCCGTATCGATGGTGGAGAGTGTCTGGTGAGGTGCGTGTTGGATTGATCTAAACACACACTGCCATGGACTTGTGTCATTATTTATTTCGTAGGGGAAAACTGCCTTGGTTTCACCTTTTTGTCTAGGGGTATGCAGGGCAGGTGTAGATTTGGGTGTAGTGTAGTAATCATCCTGTGAGGGCGTAGGTGTGTATGCATGTAGTGTAAGGATGTAGGAGCCTGTGCGTATTTGCATTCAGGTTCGCACACAGGGCTATAGGGCTATAGGTCTACCTACCGTAACATCACCTACCCAGAGGTGTAGCTGTCATGGATATTGAGTTTCATACTGGCAATTACAATCCTACCGTACCATAGTTGTTTTGTGAACGCGGTAGCCAAGCAGTGCATCATTTTGAGATTTCGTGACAGGCCCTCGTTCAGTGGTGAAAATGTGACTGGGGTCAGTCAGGGGAACCATTGTACCATACCGTTCTATCATCTCAGGGCGTGTTCCTACAACCCCTGATCTGGCTAACTAGTATCAGACTCGGTCAATCTACCGTACAATGTACGGAAGAATTTATGGACAAGCTACTGATACTGTAGTTTCGTGTGCATGGATGCCTAGAAGCACTTGCGGTGGACAATGCTGGGGCCAAACTCCTCGTACTCCTCCCTGGTGATCCACATCTGCATCGCATTGCATCCCATTGCAAGGAAAGAAGGGAGAGGGGTGTTTTGAGTAGACTCAGAAAGCAAAATAATGGCTACAAGCACATGCCGTGCACAATTCTGGGACCATACCGTTCTCCTCGTACTCCTCCCTGGTGATCCACATCTGCATTGCGCTGAAAGGGACGGAGGGAGCGATGGCAGAGGAGGAAAGAAGAGGTGGACAACAGGGGGTGGGGAGCAGAGACGGAAAGAGAGACGGGACGTGGAGAGGAGATAACGATTGGTGTGCAAATCTCAATCAGGATCAAAACATGAACACTCCTGTTCTAAATGCTTGGAAAAACACAACCATTCATCTCCACTCCATGTACACCCGTCACCCAACCCAAACCAACCAAGCCGTAGTAGATAGCACCCACTCATCCCATGGCACCCCATCTCAACCGTACTGCACCCCACAGCATCCCTTACCACACCCCCTCGCACCCACCTGCTCAAAAGTGGTCAGCGACGCAAGGATAGACCCGTCAATCCACACACTATACTTGCGCTCGGGAGGCGCCACCACACGCACACGCATGCACCCCATAGCACCCACATATCCCATACCACCCCCAACCCAAGCCTGTCGCATCCCGTAGCACCCACCTGTTCAAACGTGGTGAGAGACGCAAGGATAGACCCGCCGATCCACACACTGTACTTCCTCTCAGGAGGCGCCACCACACGCACGCGCACACTCCCAGGAGCCAAGCTGCCCACCTCCCTCTGCATCCTCTCAGGCATCCCCGGGAACATAGAAGAGCCGCCACTCAGCACAATGTTTGCATACAGGTCCCTCCGCACATCCACATCGCACTTCATGATGGTATTGTATGCTGCCTCGTGCAGGCCTGGTGCTTCCATGCCCACCAGGGAGGGCGAGAAGAGGATTTCCGGCGCGCGGAACCGCTCCGAACCGATTGTTATCACCTGCCCGTCGGGCAGCTCGTAGGTCTTGTCTAGAGTGGTAGCAGCAGCAGCAGCAGCAGCAGCGGCAGTGTCGGCACTACCGCTCGGCATCTCCCTCTCGGACTTCCCACCCTTCTTCTTTCCACTCCCGCTCTCCTCCGCTCCTTTCTTTCTCACTCCTCCCACTCCTACTCCACCGCTCTCAACCATGGCAAGCTCTTTCTCATAGTCCTCTGCCACATAGCACAACTTCTCCTTAATGTCTCGTACGATTTCCCTCTCTGCTGAGGTGGTGAAGGAGTAGCCTCGCTCTGTCAGCAGCATTGCCAGGTGGCTGCTGACGTCACGGCCCGCGAGGTCCAATCGGTGGATGGCATGTGGCAGCGTGTAGCCCTCGAAGATGGGCACCACGTGGGAGACACCGTCGCCTGAATCCACCACTAAACCTGTGGTTGGTTGGGAGGGAGGAGGACAAGGAGGAAAGAAGCAGGGTTGGAGCGAGGATGGGATGGAGGGAGGGAGGGAGGGATGGCAGGAGGCAGGAGGCAGGAGGCAGGAGGCAGGAGGCAGGAGGCAGGAGGAGGGAGGCACGGACGGACCTGTGGTGCGGCCGGAGGAGTAGAGGCTGAGCACGGCCTGAATGGCCACATAGACAGCAGGGACATGAAACGACTCCATCATGATGAGCACCATGCGCTCGCGGTTGGCCTTGGGGTTGAGCGGCGGCTCGGTGAGCAGCACGGGGTGCTCCTCGGGGGACACGCGCAGCTCGTTGTAGAAGGTGTGCGCCCACACGCGCTCCATGTCATCCCAGTTGCTCACGATGCCTGCCGTGGGGAAGGGGGAGGACAGGGGACGGAACGCGGAAGGTCAGGGAAAAGGCTGTTGTAGAACGTGTGCTCCATGGGGTAATTCCTGAAAATTTCTATGAAGGTTTACTCATCATGCTCGACGCGACGGGGTAACGCCTGGAAATTTCTATGAAGGTTTACTCACCATGCTCGATGGGGTACTTGATGGTCAGAATGCCGCGCTTGCTGTGTGCCTCGTCACCCACGTACGCGTCCTTCTGCCCCATCCCTATCATGACGTCATGGTGACGTGGGCGGCCCACGATGCTGGGAAAGACGGCGCGGGGAGCATCGTCCCCAGCGAATCCAGCCTGCAGGAGGGATCGGGACAGCAGCAGGGGGGATTGGGACAGGAACAGCAGGTTGTTGCTGAGCAGGGAGGATTCTCAAGTGATTGATGATGCAACTCGAACCGTGAGTATATGCACGGATCAGACCGATTCTCTCACCTTCACCATGCCGGAGCCATTGTCGCAAACTATTGGAAGAAATTCCTGCTCCGCCATCGTCCGGCTCAGCTCGGTTCGGCTCGGCTAGGCTCGGCTCGGCCCGGTTCGGCTCGGCTAGGCTCGGCTCGGCTCGGTTCCGCTCAGCTCGGCTCAGTTCCGCTCAGCTCCGCTCGGCTCGGCTTGGCTAGACTCAGCTCGCGTCAAAACCTCGCGACCACCAGTGACTCACTCTCTCACACACACCGCAAACGGCGCAAGCTCTCTACCGGTTAGTCGGTCGCTCTCATCCCTACGGGAAGGGAAAGAGAAACGCAGGCGATGCCAAGCAGGGACGTGGGATTCGCCGCGGTGCCAAACCCTCCTGGCGAACGTGAGGCTCAAGAGTCTCGGTGGAAATGGGTGGGGATGGTAATTGGAAGACGAAGGGACTAACGAGATGGTGGAGCTGGGCGCCACGCACGGATGCGACGGCGGAAGCGCGAAATTGCGGCATCGCGCGCTTCCGACGCGTCTCGGTAGCGTGAAATGCGGTGGAGGTAAGGTGTGTTGAACATGCAACCAGCCATGGTGAGCTGGAAATCTGGCGATGACTCGTCAAAAGGGTGGACGGAGAATTCGAGAATCAATCCCAGTACAAATGATATAATATTTAGTATCCTAAGTTAGGCCTACAGCGTCTGCGTGACCAGCATACAAATGGGTTGTGCTATATTGTGCGTGCAAGCAGTTCCGTGCTCGGAGACGCTATCCTCCAATCACCGGATTCACGATCACAAACCCACTTCGAACTGGTGGCACCAGAAAACCCATTCCCATAATGCCACGTCACCTTATTGCGTCCGCAGTTCATGGAGCAGTTCAAAAAAAGTCCCATCTGCGTTTGGGCAAATCCTCTACAACCAGTATCGCAAGAAAGAAAACATACAACCACGCGTTATCGGGAAACGCCCGTTTTTAGAAAGGTGAGTAGCGGTCAAATGCGGTCGTACGAAAGGCTCACTTTGAACCAACCAATCAAGTACGGTATCCGCAGCTGCGGCCTGCCACAACCAGGGAATCCCAAGGCAACCACCCCTTTGCGCGTGGCCGCTGCGCTTTATCCGCGTCCCTCCCCTCCCCTCCCCGCCCTGCGCTCTGCTTTATCCCTCCCTCACCGCCTCCTTCCGCCATCTGCCTACCCTCCCAGCTCCGAAGGGACCTCTCCGCTCGGCCCTGCTCTCACTTTACACGCCGCGCCAACAATCTCCCCACCATTCCCCACCGAGCCACACCTCACGTGACCACTTTTGCCCTAACCAACCAACATCAATGTTGCGTTGGCCGCATCTCTCCGCCGCCTTCTTTTCCTTATCCTTACCTCTCATCCTCCGTGCATAACCATTCGTTTAGCGCACGTCCCTCCCCTTTCCCCAATCGTGCCTGTGCGATAGCAATTATCGTTCCTCGAGCGTCTGCGATTGTCTCTGCGCGTGAATCCGCGATCGTTGCGTCCCGCGCGTGCGCGATCGTCGCTTCGGCACCTCCGCTCCCGACCATGGAGGACTGCTGCGTCGTGTGCGCCGAGCCGCTTCGCTGGGTGGCCATCGGCCCGTGCCGCCATCAGGACGTGTGCTCCATGTGCGTCGCGCGGCTGCGCATCGTCATGAACGACCAGCGTTGCTGCATCTGCAAGCAAGACTGCCCCGCGGTAGTCGTCACCAAGGTATACCGATCCCAACCGAGCTACCAGTTTCACTTCTCTCGACATCTTCCCCGGCAGTCGTCGTCTTTCTATTTACATACCCTTTCTATCTGATTTGGTCGCGGTATGAGTTTGGGCACCGCTTAATTCCCATTGGTCATACCATGCCTCACCTCATGCCATGCCTCACCATACCTTACCCATCCAGAACCTCTGGTTCCGCAGAAGCTGATTCTTATGGACCAATCAAGCAACAATTTGACTCCGCAGCATTCATGTCGACCGTGTTTTCCGTTCCTCCCCGATCAGGCTCTCGGCGAGTACACGCGCTGCTCCTACGACTTTTCGATCCTGCCCGGCGCAGTGAAGAAACCCGGGTTATCGGGAGGCGATTTCTGGTACGAGCCGACCATGCACGCGTATTTCGATGACGAGGACCACTTTAAAGCCATGGGCGCCATGACGCGCCTCGCGTGCCGCGTCTGCCAAGGCGACGCCCCGCCTTCCGCCATGGACGCCGCTGCCGCTGCCGCCGCCGCCACCGCCGCGACTGCTGCCGCCAGCGCACATGATGGCCCGGCAACCGCTGAGGCCAAGTCGGGTGGTGGAGGGGAAGGTTGCGATCGGGGTGGTGGGGCGGCGGGGAGGGGCAAAAACAGCGGGAAGGGGAGAGGAGGAAAAGGGGGAGGCCGAGGGGGAAAGATGCTCGGGGGTTCTGTTCCGCCTGGGTATTCTTTCCCGCACGTGAATTCGCTAAAGGCGCACCTGCAACAGTCACATCGGCTGGGCATGTGCGATTTGTGCTTGGAGGGTCGCAAGGTGTTTGTATGCGAGCAGCGGCTGTACACTCGGCGACAGCTCGAGCGACACGCGGCGACGGGCGACGCGGAGCCGGACCGCGAGGCGGAGGCGAGCGAGGTGTGGGGCGGGTTTCGCGGGCATCCGCGGTGCGAGTTCTGCGTTAAGAGGTTCTACGGCGAGAACGAGCTGTATCAGCATATGAGCCAGGAGCACTATACGTGTCACATCTGCCAGAGGTGCGCGCGGGGGGCATTGCGCTGGAGGGGGAGAGGCATGCGAGGCGTGGAGGGGGAGGGAGGGGAGGGGAGAGGGGGGGGGGAGAGATGTCGTGGGGGGTTGAGGGTGGTGTTGTTTTCAGACAGTTGGGATGGGACGCATCATTCTTCCCGCCAACCCGCAATCGTTGCTTTTTCCGGCTGGTTCTTCAAATGGGCACCATGGTTGCTCGGTGTGTGCTTCAGTTGCTCTCTCCCTTTCTCAACCACCACCCCCGCTCTCTCCCCTCCCCTTCCTTTCCGTGCCCTCCCCGCTTCTCCGCCTGCTTACCGTTCTCCCGCTTCCCCGCTCCGCCGCCCCTCGCTCCCCGGCTTCCCGTCCCCCTCTTCCCCGCTTTCCCGCGTACCCGCTTTCTCCCTGGCTGCGTGCGCTTCTCTCTGCCTTCTCTCTGCCTTCTCCCTGCCTTCTCTCTGGAGCAGGGCGCATCCCGGCAGCTATGAGTACTTCCGCTCGTATGACGACCTGGAGGTGAGGCCAGGCCATCACTTACAAGGCGCTTTCGAGATATTGGAAATAGTCCCGCCCCGCCTAAGAATCATTCTTGTCTTTTTCTGGTTGTCTTGCCCTCATCCCCCCCCTCGACCACCCCCCCACACACAAACACACACTCCCTCCGTCCCTCTTTTTCCCCCATTCTTCGGGCCCTCTCTAAGCCCTCATCTTGCCCGTTTCCCCTTCTCACGCCCCAACCTCTTCCCCTTCGCCTCTCCGGCCCTGCTCTCGCCCCCCGATTTCCCTCCCCACCCCCGCCCCCCTTCCCTCTCCACCCCCCCCGCCCTCCCCCTCCCCATTCCCCCCCGTTCCGCCGCGTGCGCGCGCGGCAGGCGCACTTCCGCCAGGAGCACCACCTGTGCGAAGACCGCGAGTGCCTGGAGAAGAAGTTTGTTGTCTTCAGCTCTGACCTCGAGCTCAAGGTGCGGGAGGGGGGGGACTGGGGGGGGATGGGGATGGGGATGGGGATGGGGGAGGGGGTGCGGGAAAGCCGCGGTGCAGATAGGGAAATTGTTGGGGCAAACGCGGGTTGGCGGAAAGTGGGCCAGGAAATTGCAGCAGCATCTCTTCGTCCTCTCTCCCTGCCTCTCCTCTTCCTTCCGCATCTCATCCTGTTTCTCCACGTTCCCCCGGCCCTTCTCTTCCTTTCCCCGCCCTCCCACACCCCCTTCGCTGTTATTTCCCCCCCCCCCCCATTCCGCCCTGTTCCGCCCGTTCCGCCTGCCCCCTCCAGCGCCATATAGCTCAGATGCACGCGGGCAACATGAAGCGCGCCGAGCGCAACCGCGTGCTGCAGGTAGGAGAGGGGAGAGGGGAGGGCAGGGGATGGGAAGGGAGGGGAGAGGGGAGGGCAGGGGATGGGAAGGGAGGGGAGAGGGGAGGGCAGGGGATGGGAAGGGAGGGGAGAGGGGAGGGCAGGGGATGGGAAGGGAGGGGAGAGGAGAGAGGAGGAACAGGGAAGGGAAGCTAGAGGAGAGGAATTTTGACATACGAGGGAGAGAAGAGAATCAAAGGTGACCGAGGGCAGGCTAGAGGAGAAACAGCCTTGCTTATGTGACTCAAATGACTCAACAACTCAGGCTTGAGGGTATTATGGGGAAAAGAGGATACCGGCCTTGCTCAGGCACCTTAGTCCCTCTCCTCCTTCACCTGCTTCCTAATGAATGTATGGGGCCTCCAAATCTCCTTCCCCCCCTTCCCCCCCCCCCCCCACTTTTCCGCACCGTTTCTCCCCTTCCCTTCCGTCCTCCTCCTCCGCTCTTTCCGCCGTCCCCTCTCCCCTTTCCTTCCCCCTCCTAACCCCCCTCCTCCCTCCAGATTTCCACCGCCCTCTTTCCTCACCCTCTTTCCCCCGTCCTCCCCCCCCACCCTTCTGTCTGCTCTCTTTCCCCTTCCCCAGATCCCAGCGTCCCAGCTCTTCAACTTTCACACGCCGCGCACCAACTCTGAAGGACCAGGCGCAGAGTCATTCTCTGCATCGGGCCCCCACGTGCCCCTGCACCACGCGCACAGTCAAGGGGCAAGAGGGGGAGCAGCGGGGGGAGGCAGGGGGGGAAGAGGGCGAGGCGGAGGGCGAGGGGGAAGAAGAGGGGGAGGGCGAGGCGGAAGCGGAGTGAGTGATGCGGATGCATTTACAGCGGGTATAGAGCTTGCAATGGTGGATGCTGGTTTGAGGGAATCCGCTGCTGCCGCTGCTGCTGCCGCTGCTGCTGCCAGTGTGGCTGGTAACAGTGCGGAGGAAGCTGGTACTGGCACGGGCAGCAGCAGCAGTGGTGGCAGTGGTGGTGGTGGTGTTGCTGCTGGTTCCGGTGCAGCGTATGTGGACAGGGCGCATGCAGGGGCTGCGCCTGGGGCTGTGGTGGATGCGCTGTTTCCGCCGCTCCCCAACGCCGCTGGCACGGGAAAGAAGAAGAGCAAGGGCAAAGCATGGGGAGGGGCAGGTGGGAGCACATCACCCGGCGTAGGCAGCAGCAGCAGCGGTAGCAGAGGGAATGCAACAGCGGGTACAGGATTAGGAGCAGGAGCAGCATGGGGTGTGACAATGGCTGCTGTTCTCATGGCTGATGCAGGCTGGAGCAGTGTTACAGACCGGGGCTTGGCAGCGGGAGGAGGGGGAGGAGGGGGGAGGAAAGGGGGTAAAGGGAAGAAGGGCAGTGGGTGGACAGGGTTTCCTGCAAGGGGGGCAAGGGGCGGCATTCAAGTCCTCAATGCCGCCGGACCTATTGGTCGCCAAGCCAATACAGGAGGCTCGGGAGTGTGGCAGAGGGTTGGGGATGCGGTTGGTGGTGGTAGCGGCGGCGGTGGTGGGGGGAGTGG